AGTCCACACTGAGACAGGACATTTGGACCCAGACTCACAGGACCACTCAGACCCACAGGACCACAGTCAGACCCACAGGACCACTCAGACCCACAGGACCACTCAGACTCACAGGACCACTCAGACCCACAGGACCACAGTCAGACTCACAGGACCACAGTCAGACTCACAGGACCACTCAGACCCACAGGACCACAGTCAGACTCACAGGACCACTCAGACCCACAGGACCACAGTCAGACTCACAGGACCACTCAGACCCACAACAACCCTGTGTGTCATCATGTCTCACCTGTTCAAAGAACTCGTCCATGAAGTGGTCCCTGTCGACCTGGACCACCTCCTCATCATCATCACTGTCTTTAGCCTGCAGACACAGGATGAAGAGTATGTTAGACCACCTGAAACCAGACCACCTKAGACCAGAACACCTGAAGGATCATGGGAGACCAACACGCCTGTCCTCAGCTGATAAGCTCGGAGCTCCGTCATCGTCCAATCAKCTGCTGCCATCAGCTGAGTGTCCTCGTTAGAAGACAACATGGCTCTTTGTGTCTCTGTCACGTCTGTCAGACAGATGATCTGCTGTGATATCACAGCGCCCAGCAGCAAGGCCTGATGGGAAATATTTCACCTCCGTGTCCTGCTGCTGTGTAATGACTTCACACAAACAGAACCGGACCACAGAGTCCCACAGAGACCCCAGACCTCCAGCTGTGAGGACGAGACTGACAGGAACCAGACAAGGTTCTGTCCTCTCTGTTCTCACTCTGTCCTCTGTCCTCTGTGCTCACTCAAACTACCTCCATGTGCTCTCTAAATGCATCTCTAATATCCTTCAAAGTACCAACTGTCCTCCCACTGGACATGTCCAAACTTTGACTGAAGTGATGTCTGAGCTGTAGAGACAAAGAGGACTGGGTTTACCTCAAGCTTTAATGAAACCCAGTTGATGTTGATGTGGACATGGAGACATAAAAGGACACGATAAAGACATGATGGGGACATGATAAAGACATGATGGGGACATGATAAAGACATGATGGATGGGGATATGATAAAGACATGTTGGGGACAGGATAGAGACATGATAAAGACATGTTGAGGACTGGATAGAGACATGATAAAGACATGATGGGGACATGACAAAGACATAATAAAAACATGGAGAGATGATAAAGACATGACGGGGACAGGATAGAGACATGATAAAGACATGACGGGGACAGGATAGAGACATGATAAAGACATGATGGAGACATGATGGAGGCATGATAAAGACATGATGGAGACAGGATAGAGACATGATAAAGACATATTGAGGAGAGGATAGAGACATGATAAAGACAAGTTTGGGACAGGAGAGAGACATGATAATGACATGTTTGGGACAGGAGAGAGACATGATAAAGACATGTTGAGGACTGGATAAAGACATGATAAAGACTAATTGAGGACAGGATAGAGACATGATAAAGACATGCTGGGGACAGGATAGAGACATGATAAAGACATGTTGGGGACAGGATAGAGACATGATAAAGACATGTTTGGGACAGGAGAGA